TAAGGCAGATGAACGAGACATAAGCGTCATAGTCGTAGACGTAAAATAAAGCAGAGAAAAACATAAACGTAAATCATGAAAGGCTATTAACCTTACGCTTACGTTTTTCTCTGCCTTACTTTATGTCTACGACGCTTACATCTCGTTCTCTGCCTTAGCCCTAATTCCTAATGAATTCTCAAAGTGTTTTAGGAATTAAGTTGCGAAGTATTCGCTATAATAAAGTCCTAAGGAATATTTCAAGACGAACTTACTGTTAATGAACTTACTGTGGTTAATTCTTCAAGAATTCTTCGGGTATTCATTTTTCTAATTCTATATCTATTCTTTAAAATGAATTCTCTAGGAACTTCTGTTCATCTCTATGCTATCTGGGTAAATGGTTGAAGGCACGAATAATGTAATAAATCAAAGTTCTTAGGGAGGATATGTTCGAAAAAACTACATTTTTTGTCCTACACAATGATAATAAATAATCATAACATCAAATTCCTAATAGAAACTCATATTTTACAAAGTTGTTCAATATAATTTTTTATTAATATTAAATTCTTCATATAAAAAATTATATTTATTTAAAATTAAAATAGTTTTTAATAATATTCTTACAGATCTCTACTGCATATTCGGCATTATTTTTTCTTCGCTCTTTCACATACACTTACTCCGTAATCCGTACAGTTGTTACGGAATAAAATTAAAACTTATGGCTCCTGCACACAAGACGCGGTAATGCTTGCCGCGCGGCGGAAGTCCACGCGACAGCCAATCAATATGTTGTTTTTCCGTAAGAGCTAGAAGGTTATTACGGAAAGCAGCATATTGATTGGCTGTCGCGCGAACTTCCGCCGTGCGGCAAGCATTACCTCGTCCTGTGTGCAGGAGCCATTACGGAAAAACAACATACTGATTGGCTGTCGCACGGACTTCCACCGCGCGGCAAGCATTACCGCGTCCTGTGCACAGGAGCCATTACGGATAGAAATCGGCGAAACGTACGTAAAATAAATTCAACCAATCACGAGCGTTCCGTCAATTCCGTATTCCGCATGTTCCGCAACCATATGACCGCACAATAAGGGTGCTATTTCACGTGTCGTACGACAAGCTTTTCGGATACGTTTATTGGTTGGCGAATAGAGTATTCCTAGGTTCTCTGTTCGTCAACCAACATATCCAACAAGCTTGTCGTACGACACATGAAATATCAACCTTAAACGACAGAACATCCCAGATAGCCAAACCTGCGCGAACAGATTTCGAATAGAGCTTGCTATCAACTTTTGATGCCAAATAGATAACAAATTTGATGCAGAATCTGTTATATCAAATCTTGCTGCTAAATTGCCGCCAGATATGCGGTAGAGCTTGTTGTCGGATAATTGCTGCAGATTTGCAGCAAAAACCGCGCAGAGCTTGTAGCGATTTGACGGCAGGTTGCCCAGTAAGCAATCTGCGCGCAGACTGACGTCAGACTGTCGACAGGATCTGTCGAATCCGAGCAGGATCTGTCGACAGATCCATAGACATCTGCGTCCCCAATCTGCCGCCAGACTGTTGACAGGGTCTGCGAACAGACTCTGACGACAGACTGGCGGCAGATTGCGCGCAGAGCCTGTCGACAGACTATGACGGCAGATTGGCTGCAGATTGCGCGCAGATCCTGTCGTTTCGTAGGTTCTTCAATTAAATTTTCTCATAATTTTTCATAGAAAATTACTCATAGAATAAGCGCTTTCTCATAAATACTCACAAAATACTATGACAAAAAAAATTTTTCTACATTATTTTTTCATAATTTTTAATATTTTCTCTAGTGAGATTCGAACTTGAACTGAAGACATCTTTTGGATAATCGTCCGTCGCCTTAGACACTACGCCAATTCCTCACTTGATAAAAAGCGCTTTGTATTGTCCATTTAAAGTTTAAGGAAGAAAAATATTATAGTTTGTTCGCCTTTTAAGCCGCAAAATATAGACGAAACCGTTTAGCGTATAAATAATGTAAGAGAGACTGGTACGATAATTCGAAATTAATTTTCTACCAAGGAATGTATAGAAAATTACTGCAATAAAACAGCAGATAATGACATTTTTCTATCATGTTAATAAAATACTGTACTTTTACATGTGCGAATTAATTTGGTCGATCGTCCCGTTCAGATTGTATTAAGTTTTATCAAAATCGAAGCATGATATATTTTTAAATAAACCATCAAAAAAATTCTGTAAAAGTTATTTACATAGCGAGACTAATATTTTATTCGGTGCTGCTGCCTTCAATACTTATTGCATGACGGTTAAATCGGATTTAATGACATAACAACATTAAAAAAAATAATAAGATGAGAAATTGTATGAAAAATTATGAGAACAATTTTTACCAGGAATGACATGTGTACGCCTTTAAATGGCCATTTAACCGTTGTACTATTCTATACTTGTACTCGTTATTTCTCTATTATTGTTGCTTTTTTTATAAAAAATGAGTAATACAATTTTAAAGTATAAACATTGTTTTTTATTGTGTATATGTGTACAATTATTGCACCATATAATTATCTTGACTTCTCTGCAGCAGTTTTACATAGTGTGTATGTGAAACTGCCCCATTTAATAACGTACATATGGCCCTTAATAGAATTAAATAGCCTATCTAGGAAACAGAATCTGCGCGCAATCTGCCGTCAGTCTGTCGTCAGAATCTGTCGACAGGCTCTGCGCGCAGTCTGTCACCAATCTGTCGTCAGAGACTGCTAAAATAGTTTCTGTGTGCAGTCTGTTGCGATTCTGTCAACAGACACTGTTGACAGACTCTGCGTAAAATCTGCTCGCACAGGTTTGGCTATCTGGGTTGGCGGCAGAAACCACGCAGACCTTGCTGCGCTGCAAGCTTTGCGCGGTTTTTGCTGCAAATTTGGCACCATTTGCCCGACAGCAAGATCTGTCGCCAAAACCATAGCTTAATATAGACATAGCATAATACAGATGACTATGGTTTTTTTATCAAAGTTGCTGTCAATCTGCGCGCAGTCTGTGCTTAATTTGCTTACTGGGATAGATTCGTTCGAAGTCTACTATGGCTGCGTTCGGGTGTATATCAGTTGGACACGGGGCAATTGGACACAGTCCAATCACAAGTCGCTGTTCCAAGGGATTCTACAAATGTCTCTAATCACACGGTGCTGTGATTGGCTGTGTCCAAATGCACCGTGTCCAAGTGCACCGCTCTCGCTGCGTTCAGCAGAGAAAGCTGCTTTGCAACTGTTGTAAAATTCGTGAATCTGATTGGTACATGCTCTTGAATTTAATCAAAATTAAGAGCATACTCCAATCTTAAAGTATAAATATATATATATATATATATAAATATATATATATATATATATATATATATATATATATATATATATATATATATATA